CCACGAAACTTGTCACCTTTTGTCTCGAAAGAGATGACTCCTGACATGTGATCGGAGAATATAAGTGATATAATATAACAAGTTCCAACTTATATCTGAAGAAAATACTAACAAAAAATAAACACGTATAGGCACCTCTACATAAGGGTAATCCACGGAAAAGGGTAGAATTTAATATTACGTTCGTGTAGTTTCTTGAAGCACAGTGATGAAATAATGAACCGAATAGTTAACTGATAATGGGCTTTTAATACGAGACAAGATTGTTTGTTTATGTTCATCCTTGATTTCTACAGAAATATTAACTCAGTGGTATAATTGGTGACCACATATTTTGCATGAAAATAAAACAGTTGCCGAATATAATTAACATAAAAACATAAGACGGAGAAGAAACAATGTTAGCAACAATGTTATCAACATTACTATTCGACTATTACATCAAATAACAATAGAGGTTAAGACTACCAAAGAGAGGCAAGCCCTGGAGTCATGGGTGATATAACATTCCAACCCTTTCACGTACATGTGTTATCGCTTGAATAAAGAAGTGAAATGAAACAATGACCTGGAGGAATCGTATTCATGTACATATCATAGTAAATTACATGTTGCTTTCACCTGCTTAGCTCATTCAGTAGAGTGACCATGCTTCCACACAGCTCGTAGATATAGAGCGTTGCTGCCTACAAATTACCCATTTTCAAATAGTAATAGGAATGTATTTTCCTGTTGCGTTATATGAGAACAATCTTCTCCTGAATAAAGTAGTTTAACAATAATTACCCTCACTGGTGTGGCATTGTGACAGTTTACATGTAGCGGAAATATATAACACTAAAATATTGTCTTCCCCCACCCGATGTATATATCGCTAAAATTTGGGCTAACGTGGACAATGTCAGCAACATCAATTTATATGTAAATAATGTTAATTAATACTATATTATAATATAATTGAGAAATAGTGGACCCTATTTCCGATAGACAATTACCGAATAATTACTAACAATAATTTCCGTGTCAGTGTTATAAAGCATGTTCAGCATGGGGAAAGAAAGTATTTGTTTCTAGTACAAAATGCAGAGAATAGGAAGTGTTGTGCTGGTGTTTTGTATTCTGTATCAAATATGTGCAGCTAAAAACCAAGGTATGTACTTGTATACATAAGTTTTATTGATGCCAGTCACTGTGATAATAGACACATGAATTATCATGTTATACGCATTTTAAATATTAATTGAGAAAACTGCACTAACGGTGTTAGTTGTCTCCTAACATTAGTGAACGTCTTTTACAGTATTTTAGACAGCACGGTATTCCTTCGTGAGTGTCCAAAAAACAGTCGTTCAGTTTGAATCCTTATATACTTAAAAAATAGCATGGATAAATTATCGATATTATCATTTCCCGTTATTAAAGATTGGACGCAGGTATAATGTGGTGCAGGACTGAAAAATAATTATGTCACAGAACGCAAAAAAAATCGCGAGGACAGAAATACATGTTGCCGTCATTTAGAATTGTTATATCTGATTACGTAACTATAAGAAGCGTGAGATGTATAACTACTAGGTTATCACGAGTATACCGCACTAAGGCAGTAAATCGCATCGATCGACAAGTATGGCCACCGACCACCGCAGTACTTTAATACATTTTGTGGCCTTTACGTAATAACCGCATAGTGTATACCTATATTTTATTTGATGATGATTTTTGATTCTAGATAACGCCATTAACGTGGAGAAGGATCCTAAATACTGTCATGAATTTGCTTTGGCGGTAAGTCAAAACACTGATTTTCGCAACATAGAAATTCAGTGTGAGAAAGACGGCAGTTTTTCACCGACCAATGTATGATGACAGGCATGTGCGTATGTGTCAATATGTATGGAAATTATATTGCTTACACAGCGACGGCTCCTAACCAACCACCACCAGTTTGTAAAGGTAAATATCACTGTATACTACTGTGTTCAAATTTAGTTTTGTTAAAAATTATAAGTAAATATTTGTTTTTAATTATCATTTCCCATAACCTTATTAATTAACAGAGGACTGTACGTTGTTATACATTTTCGTGTGTGTGGAATGTATCGACGGTTGGCTTATCATTCAAAACCAAACAAGTAGTACTCAAAATGAATGTGGAAATCCGACGGATCAATAAATTTCTATTTAACTTCAGTCCAACTATCTGGCTGTGGTAAATACTTCGCGCAAAAACGTAGCGTTATAAAGAAAATATTCACCACGGCAGCGAATCAAAATCTATAGTTTGATGTGAATCAATACTTGAAAAGATGCCTATCATTGTAATTGACATGTTGATATTTTATTTAGCGCAATTAACAAGCTAAAACTCTCAGTTATTGTATCTTTGATTCAGGTTTGAAGCCAGGCCGTTGTCCATTCACGAACACTGGTCTGTCATGTGATATTAAATGCCAACATGATGCAGAATGCCCTTTCAACCAGAAATGTTGCGATACTGATTGTGGCATGACGTGTATTGAACCAAAACAAGGTAGAGTATTTTCACAGTATGAATCGATGTAGTATGACTACAGTTAGTTTTGTGTTGCATTTTTGTTAAGTTCATCTGTCCGTGCTATATAGCACACACAGCCAGATTATCCTAATTTCCGATTTTTTTAAGGTACCCTTTATTGTGTTTTCCAATGTCATTCGTAGTTCACATTGCACTGTTCGTTTGTCTTGGATAAAATCAAGACTTTTTTTGCTTTTAAATGTTTATTTGATTAATTTGTGACGTTCACCTAAAAATCCACAAAAGCAAATGAAAGGCGACAGTGATGAATATTCTAATCCTCATAACCAAATCATCTCACACTGACGTGTTATCGATTCATATGGTGCATTGCGCAGTCCTCAAGTAAAAATGTAATTTTATGTTAGAAGACTTGTGACACAAACAAAAATGTTGCGACCCCTCATTATATTTATTTTTACACATATTTTGACAATGATAATTCTGTTCAAGGTACAAATTATGTGACTATAATAAGTTTTTTTTCAAGATCACGATATCGATGTAAAATTTTCTATCGCATCAGTAAACCAGAATAATTAGTTGCGTTATATCTCCGTACGTTAAGAAATAAGAATCTAAATTAAGTTTACAATGCCCCAAAGAGTTGCCAAATGTTCGAGTAAAGTATATGCTATGCCTAGGAATATATGACACAACTAAAAGAACTTTGATACAACCCTACTCCACCCGATGAACTTCCGCTACTGTTTTGTTGATGCCTTTGTATATTCACTTGGCAGTCGCTTCGGTAAATCAAAACTGTTTATTTTTAGGTTTTGAACACGACACGCTGATTACCGCGTCTGTTGTGAATACGGTTGATAGTCGTCAATGATCGGTGTTCTGGATTTTCGGCTCCTCCTTCCCCTAACTGGTTTCATCTCAGTTGTAGCTGTCGCTAGTACGTCTGTTGATCACATCTCTGTCGAATTTAGCTCAACAATGCGTTGTTTAATGTGTACTGTCTCAGGTAATGTCCAGTTCCTCCAGTCAGTTCAACCATTTAATTCCAACAATGATAGTACGAAGTACGAACTTCAATCAAAGTACAACCTTTATTGAACAAAGATTCAGATTTCCGTCCCCAATATATCGAACCGGACCTACAGCTTCCATACCACAACAAAGGGAAACCTATATTATGCGAAACTAAAACATACTTTCTACTAACATTCAGGGATCGATATTGTGATATGGGAACCATATTTTAATATTTTATCTGAGGCCCACTAAAAGGCTAATTAAAATATTGCAAATGCTGCAATATTACATTTCATTTCAATCAATATCATGGCCTCTATCAGTATGTAGTTCAGTCGCCCGATACGCATTGCTGCCACTCAAATAATCTGTTACCGTTTTGCTAACACTAATAGCCAATCATTTTGAAATATAGTATTTTGTCTCATTCGGCACAAAGTCATGGAAGAGTATTTTCACTTAAAAAGCTATGGTGGCAACCAGTAGGCAATAAAGCTAATATAATCCCATAATTTAATATCCACTGTATCCGCCTTCAATCTTAATAACAGAATTAAGCCGCTCATGCATAGAGTGTACCAAGTTCTTGAGAACCGAGGGCTCAATATTCACCCATTCATTTACTGTCCTTGCATTTAGCTGCTTCATGGACATATGGGTCGGCTGCTGAAGATTCTGTCATTCAGTATCCCCCAGCAGTTCTCAATTGGATTCAAGTTTCGTGATTTGGGAGGGTGCATTACTATTTCTGGAGAAACCCAGGAAGTTTTCTGGAACACCAATTCTGGCGGATACGGGCGGTATTAGCAGGTGCACCACCCTACATGAACACCATTACCGAGCATCATTTGTACATCTTCCGGCCAGTGACAGGACCACTCCTCTTCTTTCTGGTCATGATGAGCACCAGCATCGGTTCCAGTATCTCCTGCAAATAGTATTGAGCCTTTACTGTGCTACCCTTTGGCACTATGTGAAGCTCAGACAGCCAAGATGCTGTTATGGTACCCCCCACTATGGTATGGGCACTGAACTTCACCTGCTCAGAAGGAGACACTTTCTCAGGACTATTGGTGTAGACCCGCTCATTTCTACTGTTGGGCATCGGAAACAAATACAAGGGGCACTCGTCGGAGAAATTCAGTTCTCCCAGTCCTCTGGGGTCAAGCTGGCATACTTCCTGGCGAAAGACAGCCTCATCCCTTCCTGGATCTCTATCAGTCGTGGTATTTTGGGCCTCTTGTATGCCCTCAAACCAAATGTCTGTGTCAAATAGTGATGAACAGTGCTCTCAGGGTCTTTCTCGTCAATGTTTTTCAGTCTGATGATGTCCCTGGCTCTGGCAGTGAGCACACGAGAACGTCCAGATCGGAGCTTATTTTCAAGGATAGCATCTTGCTTGTGATGCTTGGTACACTTCAAAACCCAGTACAGTCCTCCCCCAGGAGGTGGTAACCTGCTCAAAAGGTTTGCCTACACTACGAAGGGCGACAGCTTGGAGCTGGGACTCAGAAAGTCTGTGATGTCCTGATATGCTTTTGCCCATGCTGTTGTCATGTGGGTATCCAGTGAGACATACTAATATATTCTGAACATCTTATGCTATCAGCCCACACATATGACCCAGACGGAC